AGGGACATGGAGGTCCTATTAGGTAGAGAACATGGAAGGTGTATATAGGTGACATGGAGGGTGTATATAGGTGACATGGAAGGTGTATATAGGCGACATGGAGGGTGTATATAGGTGACATGGAAGGTGTATATAGGTGACATGGAGGGTCCTATTGGTAGAGAACATGGAGGGTGTATATAGGTGACACGGAAGGTGTATATAGGTGGACACGGAAGGTGTATATAGGTGACACGGGAAGGTGTATATAGGTGACACGGAGGGTGTATATAGGTGACACGGAAGGTGTATATAGGTGACACGGAGGGTGTATATAGGTGACACGGAAGGTGTATATAGGTGACACGGAAGGTGTATATAGGTGACACGGAAGGTGTATATAGGTGACACGGAAGGTGTATATAGGTGACACGGAGGGTGTAAATAGGTGACACGGACGTGTGTATATTAGGTGACACGGAAGGTGTATATAGGTGACACGGAGGGTGTATATAGGTGACACGGAAGGTGTATATAGGTGACACGGAAGGTGTATATAGGTGACACCGAAGGTGTATATAGGTGACACGGAGGTGTATATAGGTGACACGGACGGTGTATATAGGTCATATGGAAGGTGTATATAGGTGACACGGAAGGTGTATATAGGTGACACGGAGGGTGTATATAGGTGACACGGAAGGTGTATATAGGTGACACGGAAGGTGTATATAGGTGACACGGAAGGTGTATATAGGTGACACGGACGGTGTATATAGGTGACATGGAGGTCCTATTGGTAGAGAACACGGAAGGTGTATATAGGTGACATGGAGGTCCTATTGGTAGAGAACACGGAAGGTGTATATAGGTGACACGGAAGGTGTATATAGGTGACACGGAAGGTGTATATAGGTGACACGGACGGTGTATATAGGTGACACGGAAGGTGTATATAGGTGACACGGAAGGTGTATATAGGGTGACATGGAAGGTGTATATAGGTGACACGGAAGGTGTATATAGGTCATATGGAAGGTGTATATAGGTGACACGGAAGGTGTATATAGGTGACACGGAAGGGTGTATATAGGTGACACGGAAGGTGTATATAGGTGACACGGAGGGTGTATATAGGTGACACGGAAGGTGTATATTGGTGATATGGAAGGTGTATATAGGTGACACGGAAGGTGTATATAGGTGACACGGAAGGTGTATATAGGTGACACGGAAGGTGTATATAGGCGATCTCCTGTATACAGCATGTGAGGTGTGTGATGTATATAGACTGTGTGGAGTATATATATATATATACTGTACCTACATTCATACGTCTTCCTTCTGTCCTCACAGGTTTGATCTATGAGAAGGGTTCCTGCGTTCACCCCTCGTTGGGTGGTGTGTGGGTGGGTGGTGTGTTGGGTGGTGTGGTGGGTTTGTGTTGGGTGGTGTGTAGTGGTATGTCAGTGGATGGCGTGTAGGTTGGTGGCATGTCGGTTGGAATGTGTATTAGGGAACATTTCTGTAATGTATGAATAACGAGACATACATGAAGCTGTCATTGCTGAATGGATGCTGAAGACTGGTTGCCGATTTCCTGGCTGTCTTTTTATCAGGAAAGAGAGGAGAGAAGTCAGAACTCGGGGACCATAGACTGGTTCGGGGTCCGTAGACTGGTTCGGGGGTTCGGGGTCGTGGGGTCCGTGGACTGGTTCGTGGGGTCCGTAGACCGGTTCAGATTCCGTGGACTGGTTTCGGTCCGTGGACTGGTTCGGGGTCCGTGGACCGGTTTCGTGGACCGGTTCGGGGGGTCGGGGTCAGTGATTCAGATTAGTAAAGCCATTTGATCAGCATTGCCAGGAAATTGGCATTTTCAGGAATGTGAGAGGTGAAGGACGGGGTGTGGTAGTCTCATCATGGAGAGCAGCACTTTGCCTTCCATTGACTGATCCATGTAGACAGGACGTGTTCCCTCCCCCACCCCACTCTGTGTGTGAGAGGCGGTCCCTGTGTGCCAGGATCTCAGCTCTGATTGGTCCTTCTCTTCTTCCAGCACCTGCTCAGGAGGAAGATGGATCTGCACTGACGTGACCTGTCCCGGTGAGTGCTCCTGCTGGTAGTATATCTGTTTTGTGTTTGTGTAAGAGGGGGCTTGTGATTGGCTGGTTGTTGGCGCTAAATTACTCAAGTCCCCGCCCCACTTCTTCTAGGATTGGACAGCCCCACCTGCTGGTAGTTGTGTCTCTCTGCCATATTGTATCCAACTCCCGGCCACAGACCTTCCCACCACATCCCCGGCCACAGACCTTCCCACCCATCCCCACCTTCCCACCACATCCCCGGCCACAGACCTTCCCACCACATCCCCGGCCACAGACCTTCCACATCCCCCACACATCCCCGGCACAGACCAGCCACCCTCCCACCACATCCCCGGCCACAGACCCTCCCACCACATCCCCGGCCACAGACCTTCCCACCACATCCCCGGCCACAGACCTTCCCACCACATCCCCGGCCACAGACCTTCCCACCACATCCCCGCTCATAGACCTTCCCACCACATCCCCGGCCATAGACCTTCCCACCACATCCCCGCTCATAGACCTTCCCACCACATCCCCGCTCATAGACCTTCCCACCACATCCCCGCCATAGACCTTCCCACCACACCCCCCGCCCCAGCTCATAGACCTCCCCGGCCACCACCACATCCCCGGCCACAGACCTTCCCACCACATCCATCCCTTCCCCGGCCACAGACCTTCCCATCCCCGGCCACAGACCTTCCCACATCCCCCACTCATAGACCTTCCCACCACATCCCCGGCCACAGACCTTCCCACCCACATCCCGGCCACAGACCTTCCCACCACATCCCCGGCCACAGACCTTCCCACCACATCCCCGGCCACAGTCACAGACCTTCCCACCCATTTCCCACATCCCCGCTCATAGACCTTCCCACCACATCCCCGGCCATAGACCTTCCCACCACATCCCCGCTCATAGACCTTCCCACCACATCCCCGGCCACAGACCCTTCCCACCCCTTCCACCGGCCACAGACCTTCCCACCCCTTCCCCGGCCACAGACCTTCTTCCCACCACATTTCCCATAGCCACATCCCACCACACCCCCCTTCCCACCCCACATCCCCGGCCACAGACCTTCATAGACCTTCCCATCACATCCCCGGCCATAGACCCTCCCACCACATCCCCCCCGACCTCATAGACCTTCCCACCACATCCCCGGCCAGGCCACAGACCTTCCCACCACATCCCTGGCCATAGACCTTCCCACCCCTTCCCTGGCCATAGACCTTCCCACCACATCCCCGGCCACCTTCCCCGGCCATAGACCTTCCCACCACATCCCCGGCCACAGACCTTCCCACCACATCCCCGGCCACAGACCTTCCCACCACATCCCCGGCCACAGACCTTCCCACCACATCCCTGGCCATAGACCTTCCCATCACATCCCTGGCCATAGACCTTCCCACCCCTTCCCTGGCCATAGACCGGGTCCGTATAGATGGAATATATATGTATAGACTGGGTATATATATATATGTTGGGTCCAGTACCATTAACAGTCTCTCTTTTCTCCCATGTTGTCAGCGGAATGTTCTGTCACAGGAGACTTTCACATTGTGACGTTTGATGGGAGGAAGTTCACCTTCCAGGCTCCATGTCAGTACATCCTAACCAAGAGCCGGACTTCCGGAGCATTTACTGTGTCTGTGCAGAACGCCCCCTGTGGACAGGTGAGACAACACAGGACAGCAAGACCAATGATCACCTACCCAGCACCTACAGCACTGACCTGTCTGGTAAAAGCAGTGTTCTATGTGCAGTGGCCAGGGTGTCCCATACGGCTCTCAGCTCCCTCTGATGTTGCTCAGTAGATATATTTGTGGATCGGTGCTCCTCAGGCAGTGGCCAGGGTGTCCCATACGGCTCTCAGCTCCCTCTGATGTTGCTCAGTAGATATATTTGTGGATCGGTGCTCCTCAGGCAGTGGCAGGGGTGTCCCATGTGGCTCCCAACTCCCTCTGATGTTGCTGTTGCTGAGTAGATATATTTGTAGATCGGTGCTCCTCAGGCAGTGGTCAGGGTGTCCCATGTGGCTCCCAACTCCCTCTGATGTTGCTGAGTAGATATATTTGTGGATCGGTGCTCCTCAGGCAGTGGCCAGGGTGTCCCATGTGGCTCCCAACTCCCTCTAATGTTGCTGAGTAGATATATTTGTGGATCGGTGCTCCTCAGGCAGTGGCCAGGGTGTCCCATGTGGCTCCTCAACTCCCTCTGATGTTGCTGAGTAGATATATTTGTGGATCGGTGCTCCTCCGGCAGTGGTCAGGGTGTCCCATGTGGCTCCCAACTCCCTCTGATGTTGCTCAGTAGATATATTTGTGGATTGATGCTCCTCTGGCAGTGGTCAGGGTGTCCCATGTGGCTCCCAACTCCCTCTGATGTTGCTCAGTAGATATATTTGTGGATTGCTGCTCCTCTGGCAGTGGTCAGGGTGTCCCATGTGGCTCCCAACTCCCTCTGATGTTGCTGAGTAGATATATTTGTGGATCGGTGCTCCTCAGGCAGTGGCCAGGGTGTCTTGTGGTCCTTTGGGTCTCTGCTTGAAGCACACAGAATTTAATGTATAGGATTCCATTGAAATGTTCAGTATAATTCATGAAGGTGCCAGAGTATTGGTGCCATCCTAGAGTCCCATCTGTCCTTCCAGCCCCAAGTCCAATCGCTGACAAACTCATGTAGACTTCACCTCCATAACATCTCCAACCTCCGCAACATCTCCCACCTCCGCCACATCTCCCACCTCCGCCACATCTCCCACCTCCGCCACATCTCCCACCTCCGCCACATCTCCAACCTCCGCCACTCCCACCTCCCACCTCCCTCCGCCACACCTCCCACCTCCGCCACACCACCTGCGCCACCTCCCACCGCCACACCTCCCACCTCCGCCACATCTCCCACCTCCGCCACATCTCCCACCTCCGCCACATCTCCCACCTCCGCCACATCTCCCACTGCGCCACACCTCCGCCACATCTCCCACCTCCGCCACATCTCCCACCTGCGCAACAACATCTCCCACCTCCGCAACATCTCCCACCTCCGCCACATCTCCCACCTCCGCCACATCTCCCACCTCCCCCACATCTCCACCTCCGCCACATCTCCCACCTCCTTCCTCATTGGCCGACCTCATCACAGGCTATCCCCTCTTCAGTCTATCATGAATGCTGCTGCCAGATTCATCCACCTTACTAACCGTTCCATATCTGCCACCCCCTCTCTGCCGATCCCTCCACTGGCCTCCACTCAGTGTCCTCCACCCCTCCCTGCCGATCCCTCCCTCCACTGGCCTCCATTTAGTGTCCTCCACCCCTCCCTGCCCTCTCTGCCAATCCCTCCACTGGCCTCCACTGGCCTCCATTCAGTGTCCTCCACCCCTCTCTGCCAATCCCTCCACTGCCCTCCATTCAGTGTCCTCCACCCCTCTCTGCCAATCCCTCCACTGGCCTCCATTCAGTGTCCTCCACCCCCTCTGCTGCCAATCCCTCCACTGATCTCCATTCAGTGTCCTCCACCCCTCTCTGCCAATCCCTCCACTGGCCTCCATTCAGTGTCCTCCATCCCTCTCTGCCAATCCCTCCACTGGCCTCCAATCAGTGTCCTCAACCCTTCTCTGCCAATCCCTCCACTGACCTCTAATCAGTGTCCTCCATCCCTCTCTGCCAATCCCTCTACTGGCCTCCCATTGCCCAATGGATAAAATTCAAAACACTAACACTGACGTATAAAGCCATTGATAATACTGCCTCAAATTACATCATCGATCTTGTCTCCAAATATCACCCAAACCGTCCTCTCCACTCCTCACAAGACCTCCTACTCTCTAGTTCCCTGGTCTCCTCCTCCCATGCCCGTCTCCAGGACTTCTCCAGAGCCTCCCCCATCTTCTGGAACTCCCTACCCCAATCCATCAGACTATCACCTACTCTCCTCTCCTTTAGGCGATCTCTGAAAACCGATCTCTTCAGGGAAGCCTACCCCACCCTCAGCTAATACTGAATCCTCCACTCCATCCCCCATCCCCCAGCTATCTCCTCCTGTACCACTACCCCCTCCCTCCTAGATTGTAAGCTCCCAGGATCAGGGCCCTCCCCCCCCCTCGTGTATTGTATTGTTACTGTATTGTCTCATGTTCTGTCCCCACTATAATGTACAGCTGAGCGAACCTTCTGCCGCCATATAAATCCTCTATAATAATAATAATGAAGGTGTTTTGAATTCCTTGTCTTTCACATGTGACTTGTTGGCATGGTGTTGCTGGGGGCCCCAGACAGGCGGACTCTAAATTTTGAGTATAATTTGGGGGGACAGTAAAAAGCACCAAAAATAAAACTAAAATGAATGGTGTAAGGTTGATGCTTGTTTTATCTGAGAATCTGCCACCAGCAACATGGGAGGGAGCTGAGAGCCACATGAGGACCTCAGCATTGCTGTGACCCCATCACACCATCCATTGTATTTCCAGTCTCTGGTAATAGCAGACACAACACCATACAATAAGCTGGTGACAGGCAGGGGGCACCCTGGAGACCTCGAAGAACTTTCTCCTCTTGAAGTCCTCCTCCTATCTCTGGTGAAATGTGTCCATGGTGGCCATTGATTGGATACGGCTGAATTTCCCCTGTGCTGGCTCTTCCTATTGGTCCTCCAGATTCCGGGAGCCTTTGCTGGGTTCTGTAATTGCCCCATTGAGGACTCTGCCAGTCAGCCGAGGTTTTATCCCGATGTTGATGGACGCAGTGATTGTGGTACACGGGTGTTGATGTGTGGACATCGGTGGCCCTAGTTGGGTGTGTCTATAGTATGGAGTGTTCAGCGTATATCGCAGTGTGCGCCTCCATTTCTGGCGGATGAGAACGTGGAGTCGGGGAGCAGACAGGTTCTTGGCGTGGATCACAAAGGCTCCAGTCATGGCGCTCCTCAGACACGCTGACACTAACAATCATCGAGCCATAAGCAGCTTCAGAATTTTCAGAAATTTTGCTAAAGCGCTTTCTGGACGGCAAATCAGAGGAGCAGCTTAACCTTATCGCGGTGTCAGGTGTCGCCATCAATGTCTTTGTACTTCCCTGAGATGAGAAGAGATCGGAATATAGGAATTTATTGTCTCATGTGAAGACAGCTGCCGGACATGAAAGGGACGATTCATGGGAACAGAGCCGGATTCTCTTCTAGAATTTCTCCTTTTCACAAGCAATGGAAGAAGAAAGTGTTGTGTCCATCTCCGCACCATAGGTGAAGGTACATGTCCTGCTGAGCACCCCTCCCCACTGCCCACCGACTCTTCACATGGGAGCTTTATTGACTTCTTCAGCTTCTCACTCTGTCATTGGATGAAGAAAGTGTTGTGTCCATCTCCGCACCATAGGTGAAGGTACATGTCCTGCTGAGCACCCCTCCCCACTGCCCACCGACTCTTCACATGGGAGCTTTATTGACTCCAATAGCTTCTCACTCTGTCATTGGATGAAGAAATGTGTTGTGTCCATCTCCGCACCATAGGTGAAGGTACATGTCCTGCTGAGCACCCCTCCCCACTGCCCACCGACTCTTCACATGGGAGCTTTATTGACTCCAATAGCTTCTCACTCTGTCATTGGAAGAAGAAAGTGTTGTGTCCATCTCCGCACCATAGGTGAAGGTACATGTCCTGCTGAGCACCCCTCCCCACTGCCCACCGACTCTTCACATGGGAGCTTTATTGACTTCTTCAGCTTCTCACTCTGTCATTGGATGAAGAAAGTGTTGTGTCCATCTCCGCACCATAGGTGAAGGTACATGTCCTGCTGAGCACCCCTCCCCACTGCCCACCGACTCTTCACATGGGAGCTTTGTTGACTTCTTCAGCTTCTCACTCTGTCATTGGATGAAGAAAGTGTTGTGTCCATCTCCGCACCATAGGTGAAGGTACATGTCCTGCTGAGCACCCTCCCCTACTGCCCACCGACTCTTCACATGGGAGCTTTATTGACTTCTTCAGCTTCTCACTCTGTCATTGGATGAAGAAAGTGTTGTGTCCATCTCCGCACCATAGGTGAAGGTACATGTCCTGCTGAGCACCCCTCCCCACTGCCCACCGACTCTTCACATGGGAGCTTTGTTGACTTCTTCAGCTTCTCACTCTGTCATTGGATGAAGAATGTGTTGTGTCCATCTCCGCACCATAGGTGAAGGTACATGTCCTGCTGAGCACCCCTCCCTACTGCCCACCGACTCTTCACATGGGAGCTTTATTGACTTCTTCAGCTTCTCACTCTGTCATTGGAAGAAGAAAGTGTTGTGTCCATCTCCGCACCATAGGTGAAGGTACATGTCCTGCTGAGCACCCCTCCCCACTGGTCACCGACTCTTCACATGGGAGCTTTATTGACTTCTTCAGCTTCTCACTCTGTCATTGGATGAAGAATGTGTTGTGTCCATCTCCGCACCATAGGTGAAGGTACATGTCCTGCTGAGCACCCCTCCCCACTGGTCACCGACTCTTCACATGGGAGCTTTATTGACTCCAATAGCTTCTCACTCTGTCATTGGATGAAGAAAGTGTTGTGTCCATCTCCGCACCATAGGTGAAGGTACATGTCCTGCTGAGCACCCCTCCCTACTGGTCACCGACTCTTCACATGGGAGCTTTATTGACTCCAATAGCTTCTCACTCTGTCATTGGATGAAGAAAGTGTTGTGTCCATCTCCGCACCATAGGTGAAGGTACATGTCCTGCTGAGCACCCCTCCCTACTGGTCACCGACTCTTCACATGGGAGCTTTATTGACTTCTTCAGCTTCTCACTCTGTCATTGGATGAAGAATGTGTTGTGTCCATCTCCGCACCATAGGTGAAGGTACATGTCCTGCTGAGCACCCTCCCTACTGCCCACCGACTCTTCACATGGGAGCTTTATTGACTTCTTCAGCTTCTCACTCTGTCATTGGATGAAGAATGTGTTGTGTCCATCTCCGCACCATAGGTGAAGGTACATGTCCTGCTGAGCACCCCTCCCACTGGCCCACCGACTCTTCACATAGGAGCTTTATTGACTCCAATAGCTTCTCACTCTGTCATTGGATGAAGAATGTGTTGTGTCCATCTCCGCACCATAGGTGAAGGTACATGTCCTGCTGAGCACCCCTCCCCACTGGTCACCGACTCTTCACATGGGAGCTTTATTGACTCCAATAGCTTCTCACTCTGTCATTGGACGAAGAATGTGTTGTGTCCATCTCCGCACCATAGGTGAAGGTACATGTCCTGCTGAGCACCCCTCCCCACTGGTCACCGACTCTTCACATGGGAGCTTTATTGACTCCAATAGCTTCTCACTCTGTCATTGGACGAAGAATGTGTTGTGTCCATCTCCGCACCATAGGTGAAGGTACATGTCCTGCTGAGCACCCCTCCCTACTGCCCACCGTCTCTTCACATGGGAGCTTTATTGACTTCTTCAGCTTCTCACTCTGTCATTGGATGAAGAAAGTGTTGTGTCCATCTCCGCACCATAGGTGAAGGTACATGTCCTGCTGAGCACCCCTCCCCACTGCCCTCCGTCTCTTCACATGGGAGCTTTGTTGACTTCTTCAGCTTCTCACTCTGTCATTGGATGAAGCAGAACCTTAAAGTGGAAGATGTTCCCCAAAAGTCCACCAAGAATGTGGGACATTTCATGGCAGCTTTATGGCCACCATCAGGTCAGCCACCTTTCCTGGTACAACTCTCCTCAGGTGAAGCCCAGATCACCCAGGGAAAGACCCGGAACATTCTTCCTCTGAGAATATTGTGGTGGAGGTTTGTACCGTGTTGGCTGTCGACTTACACAGACGGTCTGGATTCTTACATGTTGTGGTGAGATTAAAGATGTAAACTTTCAGGACCTGTCAGATCTCTTTATACAGTTCTGCAAATGGTTTTCCCCCCCCCCCCCCATATTTATTTGCAGAATTAAAAGGAGGAGCCGAAGAACACAACCAATAATAAAAATACAACTATTATCAAAAATAAAACAACCCGAGACGTACATCTATGTTTTCCTGAAACATTGGGAGGGATTTACTAAAACCGGAGAGAGCAAAATCTGGAGCAGCTGTGCATGGGAGCCAATCAGCTTCTACCTTCAGCTTTTTCAATGAAGCTTTGGCAATAAAACCTGGAAGCTGATTGGCCGCCATGCACAGCTGCACCAGATTCTGGACTCTCCAGTTTTAGTAAATCCCTCCCATTGGGTGATAATGGCCACGCTAATGGGTTATGTTGGGCCTACACGGCTGGAACTTCGGCCAATCCCCGCTGAAGCCTTGGGTGACCCTGCTGGGACTTCATCCAAAGAGCCGCGCAGAACATATCTGGGAGAAGAGTGACTGTAGCCAGTCAGATGGAGGCAATGTTCAGGTATCCTGACAGCCGTGGGAGCAGCAGCCTTCTAAACACAAGAGCCGGCAGTGGGGATTCCTCCATCCATGCTGCTTAGACTGGACGGGGGAATCTACAGAATCT